ATTTGCATTTGGTGGGACATCAAAGGAGTAATTCATTTCGAACTCCTCAATCCACAGCGAACTGTCAGTGCATAAATCTATAGTTAGCAACTGGAACGTTTAAATCAAACCCTTCATCAGAAACGCTCTTCACTCGTCAATCGGAAAGGTATTCTTCTTCTCCAAGACAATGCACGTCCACATGTGGCATGCTTGACGCGACACAAGATTATGGAACTATCAGATTACCATCTTTTTCGTTCTCTGCAAAACCATCATAATGGGAAAACGTATGCAAATGTGGAAGGTGTTAAAGGGGACACCGACATGTTTTTTGCTTCAAAGCAAAGTGATTTCTTTAATCAGGGCATTAACAACCTGATTGGAAGATGGAAAAGCATCATCGATAAGAATGGAGACTATTTCATTTAATAAATGTTTTGTTTTGACATATAAGTTGTTCGGATTTTTTTATCTAAAAAAAGCGACATAAATTTCTTGACGACCTAATATATATAGTTTAGAATACACAGTAAAATGTTGTCATTTTTCCTATCTGTCAAGTCAACTGTTTGAGTGTAACATCGCGATATATACATGTATGTATATATATATAATCCAATATTAATATTTGACACAACTTCTAGAAAGCCATTCCAAAGAATGACCTGCCTGATCAGGGAAGTGTTTTGCCTCTCTTGTGCAACAATAACCTGCTAGTGCTTCAAAATTTTTTCGTAGAACCTTGGTCAACCTGTGGCTTAGACCCCCACGATGGCATGCATATCAATTAATTTTTGGATCCAGAGAGTGTTAGTCCCTGCTTTCAATTGACAAAGTAGTGAGTTGCTATGATGAACTCGTAAGACAGCTCTACACGGTTTTGAAACTTTGCAGAACCATTTGTGGCCCTGGTAACACACCTTTTGCCTCTAAAAGACTTTCGTCTACCACTTGGATCATTGTTTCTTTCAATGGGCTTTTGATGTTTCTCCTTATGGCGAAACCTCTCCAAGTGGCAGACTTCATCTATCTGAGAACCTCCACTTTCCTTCGTACCATAGGTAGCATTTGATCAGTAGTAAGATATGATCTAAATAAGTAGTGACAATTCGGGTGCCTTATAGAGACTTCTCACGTAGTGTCATGGACTCCAGACAGCAAACTAGTGCTATGACCTTCATTTATTCATGTGTTCTTTGCACCAAGGTTCATACTTAGAGGAAAATCAAGATAAATAGCCTAAGAAATCCCTGACTGTGTTTTTCCATGAGGCTGTTAATGGATTAAGACATGTACATGGCCCTTTGCATCAATGGAAAAAAAACCTGGTATCAAGAAGAGGACTACTCCTAGACAATTCTAAAGAGTGAGATTACAAAACACCTTTGTTGATTAATTCTTCTCCTTGTGCTTAAGTGTTTAGTCTGGAAAATGCCATTTCAATGCTTTTCATAAAATAAACTTGTGGTTAATGAAAGTACAAAGCATGGCATAAATATATACGTTAAGAAAGTACAAAAGACTGCAAAAACAAAACCTTGGGTCATGGCACTAAGTATTTCCCTTACTACCTTACTCTACAATGTCCTCAAGTACACTAGTTTACTTCGCAGATAAGAGTAGCAACTGCAGTAAATTAAAGAAAGGCAGAAAATTTATTATATAAATAAAACTGAGTTTTCTAACTAGCTAAATTGAAGGAAGAGACTGGATACAAATTAGCAGTGCAAAATAAATAATTTTCTATTGAAAAAAAGGACAAATAAACACATTTCATTAGTATGTGTGTATACTGTACGATGGGCAGTATTTGTTTCTTGATACTGAAAAGGATATTTTCCAGTAGAAACATGATGGTTATCTGTACAAGTTCTGAGAGTACATAGAGAACAAGCTACAACATAGAAACTATTATGGTCATTTCTTTCAGAATGAATACTTTACTCTTGTCACTGTTGCCCATTTCATTGGTAAAAAGACTTGCCTGAGTTTAAGATCATTTCTGAAATCTACAGAGTGTATTTAACTATGTATTCCTACAGCATTCATTCTCATAAGAATGTAAAAGTAACACCAAAATATACCAGGAAGTGTTGAAGCAAAATACTACAAGCATTTCTTTTGTTTCCATATAAGTTATTACAAAATCTACTAGCGAAATCATTTGAATTCCTGTTTTGAGAGGGATAAACTACTCCTTGCATAAATATTCACTAATAAGGATATAAAAGAGTCCAAACTACCAATGCATAAAACTTCGCTGTCAACAAATATATGTGGTATGTGAAAGTACTGTACATTTATATATTCTTGTATTATTACTGTTTTACCTGTCTTTGTTTCTTTGTTGTTCTCGAGAGATAATACTTGCTTAGCCGAGAAAGGATATTGCTAAATACTGCATGTTTCAATTTCGACAACAGTGTCCTTCAATGGTCATTCAGGTGATATGTAGAGGTTATGGCTTCACCTAGGCTACAAAAGAACGACCAATCATGATCATAGCTTTAGATGCTCTGGGTAAATGCAATGTTTCTTGTGAAGTAAGAGACACTAGAACAGGAACTTATAATTGAAGCAGCTTAAAGAGCGAATTCCGTAAAAGTGATAGTTTATTGTTCCATTAGAACAAGTACACACTGTGTTTGTGTTAACTGTAATAAAGATTTGAAATTTTGTATTTTACTTTGTCCGGTCTCGCAACGACTTAATTAATCAGATATTTAGCTTTACTTCAAAATATCAAAAATCATATTAATATTATGTAAATTAATAATATATAGAAAACATTAGCACACCTCTATCAGAAATTTGGAAAAGCCCATGAACATGTGAACAAAAGCAACCATATTTTTTGTGAACAGAATGTCACTGTATTATAACGTAAACCTGACATTAACGGAAGAAAAATCTGAGAAGCCTTATTCAGTGGTGGGATTCAAATATTTTAACAACAGGTTCTCTCACTAGCAGCAGGAGGGGCCAGAAAGCCCC